CACGCCGTGATAGCGAGGCCGGGAGCCTGGCTCAAGATGAGGGAGCGCAGCGGAGGGGAGAGGACATGGTAGTGCTGAGGAAAGAACACGGCGAAGGTACGAGCTTATATACGCAGGAGGCTGGCCTCCGGCACTCTGCCGAGTTTCCGGCGGTCAGCCATTGGCGGCTGAACAAGAGAGGCCGCCAGGAGAGTTGTAACTCCGATCGTGCTTCTCCAACGAAATGATCGGATAGTGCTCTTCTGGGAACATAGCAGCAGCTTGCTTCTCTGTCTAGAATGAAGGTGGCACATATGATCACGGCGGGATGCGACGACTGGCAGGCACGCAGACTCAGTGAAACGGCCGCCGCCAGGAGTGTTCCATCGGATAGTGAGCCAACGCCCTGAGCGCGCTGGTGGTGTCCAGACCGAACAAGTTCGCATATGGCTCACAGTAGCGGAGGAATATTGTGAGCATCAGCCGTGTGGCAGCAGAAGTTAGCACGATGGCATTGGCAAGAGTTTGGGAGGCGACGCAAGCCCACAGCAGCAAACAGAGGTACACACGACCGGCCCGGTGACACCGTGCCTCGCTCGCCGGCGTTCACCTCAAAGATCGAACTCAACCGTCACCGCATTTGTTCGACTCCAGACGTAGGCCGCAAGTCACTGCTTGTCGCTCTTTGCGACCGCAATGGTGCAGCTTCCGCATCCTAGAAATGCGGCCCGGTCTGGCACTGTTCTTCGGCACACCTCCCGGTAACGGTACGGCGACGATGGTGAACGAAGGACTTCACGAAGACCGCGATGTTCGCTGAAGGTATGCCACTGAACTTTCAATTCTTGTGGCAATTTTTGGAATGATGAACCGCGCAGTACAAGGGTTGCATGCTTCCTTTCCGCTCTCCTGGGATACTAGGGCGCTGTTGTTCTCCTGCCGCGAACAAACCCAGCGCATCGCGAACTCCGTTTCAAACAAAATGGAAGCCTCTGACGACGACAAGCAGGCAGCGCCGAGCAACCAAAGGGAACCGATCTGCATCGATCATGGGCGGCCCCTTGTTCGCCCGCCAAAGAGCGACGAACGTCAGCCCGCCACCGGCGCCCTAGCTCTGCCAGCCACCTATAGTTGGCTTGGCTATATAAACAGCCCATGTTGGCTGTATCCTCCTTCCTCAGTACCACCATGTCCTCTCCCCTCCGCTGCGCTCCCTCATCTTGAGCCAGGCTCCCGGTCTCGCTATCACGGCGTGCGCTGGTGGGCTAGACGTCTCTCGAAACACTATGGCGAGGGTGAAGGCAGACACTCACTGGCCCGACGCTCGCCGTCTCGCCTGCGACGGGCTGTGGCGGACGCCTCGATCTGTGCCGGTGAGCTACACAGCATAACACTCTCGTGTTCGCCACTGACCTGATTACAGCTGCCCTGGTCAATCGACGGTTGTCCAACACAACGCTCCAGTCTACCCTGGGGCGTGCGCGTCGAACCCTGGTTCCCTTCGTTCCACCCGGGACGTTGGGGGCCGGGGGCGACGGTGTGCGCAGCACTACCCCACCACCCGCTGCGTACACCGTATAGCTTGGCTAGACCCACCACCACGTACGTTCTACATCGTGCCCTTTGGACCTACCTCCGACGAGGAGCTGACCTGTCATTCTCCTCCAGCACCCAAATGACGCGCCCATGGTCAGCCGCCCCCCGTCGTATGTAAGCCCACGTAGTGGCGTCCGACGTTCGCGTCGTGTCGCGCTCAGGCTCCTGTCCCCGCCCGTAAGCCGTTGTTGGACGCGGGGCGGTGAGGCAGACGAGTCAACGCCTGTCCGGAAAAGTCACCTGTCGGGGATGGGTGACTCGGGCTGCGCGGAGCGTGCGCGGCGCATTGCAAGGCTGAGCCTACGACTGGTGAGACGCGCTTTACCCGTTCCTTTTGAACCCGACATCCTGACACGTCCCATATTCTAGCATACACCGGCATCATGAAGTATCGCCGCCGCCTTCTTACTGCGTCATTCGATCGGTACAAGCGAGGTACGTCAAGTTTCTCCTACCTTACCCTCTATCAATGATTGCAGGGACTGGCCGTGAGATGAGAGATGTGCGTACTGCCCTGTTCCATCCATGTACTGTAGAATTGCTTCAATATATAATCCTTGGTGTCGGTCGTGCACCTTGAGACCGTGCTCATGGGAGGGTAGGGCAGAGCACCACAAGTGGTACCGGGGTGCTGTAGGGACTCCCGCAGCGGGAAAGTAACTTCGTTCATCGTCATTAGTCCTACTCGTATGTCGTGTTACATTGTCTCGCGCGTGCTTTCGTACAATCAAGATGCTTGAGTCGTGCCTTCATATATGCGTGATCGCAAGGGAATCCCGCCAGTAGCGAAAGCGAGACTCTTAAGCCCCGCCGTCCGCGCCGTCTGCTCCAAATCACAGTCTTGATCCAAGCCCGCCCGCATTCACGCAAACGCGGTGCCCTTCACAGCCTGGAGCCAGGCCGTGTTCGCGTTCGGGAACTGGAAGGACATGACGCCGGCGTTCCAGCCCTTCGCGACGGCCTGTTGAATACACGTCCCAAGGGCCGCCGGATCGATAAACCCGCCGTTCGTGACGTCGCTCAGGGCACCGGGCTTGCCGATGACGAGCTTCTGGAGGTCGACGCCCGATTTGGCGGTTTCGAAGACCGAGGACCCGCCCGCGTTGTTCAGCAGCGAGTCGCAGGACTCGTAGCCGGGCGAGGGAGACTCTGCAAGCGCGGCTCAGTACAGAAACACCTAATAGAGGTGAGAAAGAGGCACCCACGATTGTAGTATTGGATGTTGTACTGCATTGAACGAGGACGGATGTCAGATCATCATCTATATGCGTTTATGGATATAAAGCGAGGCATGGAGCACATACCCAATCAATGAGGCTGCCCACGGTCTTGTCGACAGTCAGGTAGCAGCCTCCAGGGCAGAAGCCAGGCTGGAACCAGGGACCAACGGCTACCCGTGCGTCCTCATCAGCAACCCTGTCTCTACACTGTCGCAATCGAAGAGACATACGAGCGTGGGTGAGAATGAACTGTCCCTGCGGGAGCTGCGTCCTCAACGCTCGCGTGAACGTCGCCAGCCAAGCTTCGCCAACGTTGGCCTGCTGCTTCTGGGTGACAAGCGTGAACTCCTCCCAGTCCACATCGATGCCGTCCAAATCGGTCGTGAGCACGAACTGCGCCATCGTGTTGGCGAGCACGGTCGGGTCCCTGTTGTCCGACGTCGGCTTGTCGAACTGCCCAAAAGCAGCGACGACAAGCGACACGCCTTTGTCGTTGTACTGCTGCTTGAGCTCCTTGCGTCGGGCTGGATCGAGGTTCGCCCAGTTCAGAGCCTGCTCCTTTGGGCCGTCGGAGAGCAGAAATGCCAGGTTTCTGTGTCCATGGGAACGCATGAGAACGCGGTGAGGACAATAGCGGAAACGGGAGATAGCTTACACAACATTGAAGCCTTGAATCTGGTCGAGCGGTGGGAGGACGTCGGGGCCGACGACACGGTCCGAGTATACGACGAACTTGGGGCCCTGCGGGACCAGACTACGAGGCACTCGAGGGGACGCGAGGGACACCCCTAGAGAAGCCACGGCAGAGCAGAGAGTGAAGAGACGCGAAAACGACGGCGCGAACATGCTGAGGCGGTGATAAACTCCCTAAACCAGAGGGAGAGATAGTACGGAAGAGCGAAGAGGAGACGAGTAGGAAGAGAGAGAACGAAAGCCGCTAGCGGGGTGAGGAGCATACCTGGCCTCTCGACCCAATTATACTAGTCGAAAGAAACTGCGGCGCATCTAACCTGAAATTCTGTAACATACGCTCTGATATCTATCAGGAGCTGTCTCGTCCGTGGTTCGAGAAGACCGTTCGAGACGATGTCGCGACGGCCATTGCCATGAGTGGGCACAGCGGACATCGATGCTCAGCATTGTAGTTCAGAACAATGGTATTGCTTGATGTTGTCACCATCCAGATTGACTCCGCCTCTGTTGAGCACTCATGGCTTGTTTTTGCGCTCACCGTGATTAGTGGATGGGGTTTGAGAGACGGTCTCTCCTAGACGCGTGGTGTGCTGATGCGAGGGATGGTCCTAGAGTGGCGGATTGAGCGTGAGCCATATGATCAGCTAAACATGGACGACTTGCTGAACTTGCAGAAGTAAGTTAGATGTGTCGCTATGCACTGGCAGCGAGGGTTGCGAGAAGTGAGCACGTATTTCGATATCATGAATCGATGAACTCCCGCAGCGCATGGTCGCAGTTGGACGATGTGTTCGTGAGCCAATTCAAGTAAAACAATTGAATGTAGGAAGTTCGATGCTCACCGCAATTTAGGCGTACCGCGCGCAGCGTCTGGGCGCAGTGGAACAACGTTTGACCTGCGGCACGATGACCGAACCGGGTCTACCTAGATGACATCAGGACGGCGGATGACAGATCAGAATCTGGCCCGATGACAGTTGCTCTTCTGACTCGCTGAAGAGTACTATTAGTAGCCCGGGCCAACACATCTGCGAGATGGTGCGCTAGCATGGCAGTGCTTAACAGATCAACAGCATCCTATGCTGGCCACGTACAGAGATAGTATGAACTTGCGTTGATGATGTTCAACGGAGATGCCGACTCGGATCCTCCGGTCTGGAGGCATAGAGACACCCCTGCGGACGCATTTCCATGGCCAGCCTGAAGAGTCGGAAGAACCTCGACGCTCGTGCTCACAGTAACAACAGTTAAGCATGAGTCAGCATCAACGGCAGGCGTAACTTCATTCTGACCTGACAAGTCTATATTGTGCGATGGCTGTGAGAATACTGGAACTGGAGTTGAGGCATGGGCATGGTGAGGATGATGACCTGTCGACAGTGGTAGACGACGTTGATGTCTTGCTGTTGAACTCGAAGGAGTTTGAACGAACTTGTTAACTTCTTCCATCTGGACAATGGACGCATACATAAGTCATATGGACATAGACATGCACTGCGCTCCACGGTACAAGAACCCTTGGCGCAGCGGTAGCGCGTGAGATTCCAGCTTGCTGGGAGATCCTCAAGGTCATCCGTTCAAATCGGGTAGGGTTCATTTTTTTTTCTCCTTTCTCCCTTCCTCAGCCATCAACACTCAACCTTGTCTTCTGAATCCATTCATATTGTCAGAATCAGATGGCCACATTCGTTGGGAAGATACATCCTGATATGACATTTTGTACATCCCGTTCATCCAGTGTCTACACCATCGCCTTAACTCATCGCACAGCACTCTACACCAACTGACGGCTCCGGTAAAGGAGCACGTACGCCGACGCGTCCTGCCCGCCACCCGACAGCGTCTCCAACTTGTCCTGGGGGAAGATCGACACCTTGTCGTCGTCGAACTTGTACCAGTCCTCGTCGTCCTCGTCCAGCGCAGGGCTCCCAGACGTGCCGTGCAGCGCACGCTTCTTCACAAAGCCGATGTAGTGTCCTGCGTCTGCCTCCGCGCCCTTGTGCGTCACAATGGCTGTTCGCGAACGGCTTCGTGAGCACCGCTGTTTGCAGGAAATAGGACAAAAGCAACACTCACCGACAAGCTCGTACTGTCCGGTCGAGCTGGCGCCGACGTCGCTTTTGATCTCTGGGTGGATGAGCGCCTCGAGCTCCTTGCCCTCCTTCTCGCGGTACACGCTCTCGTCCTCCAGCTCCGCACCCGCAACTGTCTTGCCTTTCTCGGCGTCTGCGTTCTCTCCCTCCGTCGTCGTCGCTGGCTCAGCGGTCGAAGAGGAGGCAGCGGGCGCAGATGCGTCGCCCATCTGGACGTCACCCTCCTTGTCCTTCGCGGGCTGGGCGGCCTTGGTCCGTTTGCGGACCTTGCGGCGCTCTGCACGCTCCTTCTCGAACTCCTTCAGCTTTCTGCTGATCGGGAGCAGCTTCTCTTGCAGCTCGGGCGTCGCGATGTCGAGCGCGTCGTACTCGGTGGGGAACTTCACTCTCCTCTGTTCATACATTGCATTTGCGTGGGTACATTAGACGACCGCGATAGGAGGACGACACGCACCATGATTTTCGCCTTCTTGTTGATGTCACGCTTCCACGCGAACCGGACCATGTGAACGGTGAGATATGTCGGAAGTCGAGAGAGGCGCTGTGTGGAGCTGTATACCGCTTCACGCCCAAGGGTCGGTGATTGCTTCTCGATCGTGCCGTCAAGTGCCTGACAATATCTTCAGCATCTATGCAGCCTTGCCTGCGTAAATCCCACACACCTCCATGATACCTTGCTGCATATAGTTGACGGCGTTGGAGATGTTACACGAGATCTTGAGGACCTTCTCGAATGCAACAGACTCGGGCTCTTCCGGTGCTTCGGCGCACTTCAGTCTACAACCGCTCAGTTAGATACGTAATGAACACGCTTGAAAGGAAGTGCATACACTCGTCTCAGTTCGCCGGTCATGTACTGCTCAACGAACTTGGCACCGGAGGAAGACCCTGAAGAGGGTCCAGGAAGTCCTTGGACCTCTTTGAGGGCGTTCGTCAATTGCACCCAGCACTCTTCAGCGTCTGCGATGTCGTCAGTACCCAAAGCCCCGACTAGACATGAATTACAATGCACACATACCTTGTTGTGCGTATCCGCCGCCCATGAGTGCCTTCATGCCCGTTGCGCGCGACTGCTCAGCGAATTGTGGGAACGCATGACGGAGGGCAGCAAGGAACGCGGATGGTGTGACACTCTCCGTCGTATTTGCCATGTTTGCGTAGAGGTTACGCAGCGCTGTTGGCAGTCCTGGCGGAGGAGAGCTATCGCAGAGCTTAGCAAGGTCGATCGAACAGCGACTAGAAGTCAGAGTACCTATGAAGGGCAGTTTGTAGTTCCGGGATAGCGCGCATAGCTTGAAGTGTGGCATTCATGTAGCACGTGTTACCCAGGTTGACGAGACCAACAGGCAACGAGAGCTAGAAGGTTCATTCAGCATGCGGTAGAGAGCGGACTCAGACCTAGCACTCACAGCTTGTGCCAAGGTGGTATCGTCCATGTCTAACATTCGAATGAACACCTCGTCCTCTTGGCTCATCTGAATAGCGCACAAACGCACCTTCCAAGAATTGAATGGGAGTTGATGGCGGCTTTGGAAGCTCGCCTGCGGCGCCGATGACCATAAATGTTTGTCCCTGTACGAGAGGGACCGATCAACTTCTCGAAGACGTGCAGATTCGCGTATGCCACTGACCGCTTTGGGGCCTACTTTGCGCCAATCGGTATCATCCTACGCACACAGAAAGCGTATGAGCATTGTAGATGTGCGCGCCGGCATACGAGAAGACGTACTTTGAGCATGCCGCCTTTGATCATAACTTTCATCCTGTCTGGCGGTACACCAGTAACTTGGTAGATGGCGTCCTTGAAGACGGCCGGGGGAAGGTCGGGGTCGAGCTGCACGTCGTGCACCTTGCCCGCATGCTTGATCTTGACCGCGAGAGGTGCCATGGCGGTAGTGCGGTGGTGTGGAGAGAGGAAGTCGAGATGAAGGAGCAAAATTGCTGTGGCCCCAGCCTGACGCGTACGCGTACGCGTGAAGCCACAGATCTCGATGACAAATCTGTGGGCGTCAAGACCCGGGATCCCGGACCGTGTGGCCGCAGCGAGAGCGCCCGATGACGTTGGGCGACGTGTCCGGGCGCGTCGAGGCGTCAGCGCACTGCGGCGCGGTGGTGCACGCTGCACGCCTCTTAACCGCTTTCTCCTCAGACGACCGCCATCACATCCCCTATCTTTGTCTCTTTCTCCACCCTCTCACTCGCGATGACCGTCTAGTACGTCTCAGACTCGCTTGTGCCCGCCGGGGAGCTCGATGCTGACCATGTTGTCCAGCTACACGCTCACTTTCCTCCTCCTTGTGTCGGAAATGGCCACCTTCCTGGTCCTCATCTTCCCCCTCCCCCACACAGTCCGCAAGAAGCTCTTTCACTTTCTCTCCGAAAGTCCAATCGTGGCCAAGCTCGCATATGGTGTCAAAATTGCATTCATGTACGTCCTTTGTCGCCCCTGCTAGGACGATGCCTCTGACGCACCGCAGATTCGTAGCTATCCTATTTGTGGACGCGCTGCAGAGGATGTGGAGAGTCACAGCGGAAGTCGACCTCGCCAAGTCAACAGGGGCCGGGATGCATGACGTTCGCGCGGAGACGACCGTGTCTGCACGCAAGTTCTAGTACGTCGTCCTCGCACCTTTCCCAGTCAGGCACTAATCCAACGATGTTGCAGCGCACAAAGAAACGTCTACCTCACAGGCTTCTGCTTGTTCCTCTCCCTTGTTCTTACTCGCACGTTCTACATCCTGCTCGACCTCATCCACACCCAAGAGGAATACGCTAAACTCAAGAACTCAGTGCGTGATGTCTTGTCTACGTCCTTCAGTAATTCTGAACTAGACATGCTCAGACCGGCAAGTCCACCGGTGGTGATCAGACCAAGCAGATTGAGGATCTCAAGAAGAAGCTCGCTGCGGCGGAGGCAAAGGTGAAGGACTATGGTACGTCCCACAATCCTCCCACCTACGATTAAACCTAAAGCAGTGGCTGCAGACATTGTGAAGAAGCAGGCCGAGCAAAACGCGATGGAATATGACCGCCTCGCCACCGAATACAACGCGAAGACGGGTAGTGTCTCGGACAAGCGCAGGGATTGAACAATGCTCGTATTTCAGTCGCTAGTCCTCAACTCCGGGGTTATTGACGGGTTGGGCTCTGGCATACTGTCACGACCACGGGAGACTGTGCTTACGCACACCGGCCTCCCTCCATGTACTTTGTTCTCTCGTTAATTCATTTGCTCATCGAGTTCCATGTCAACTATCCCCAAGATCCCCAAGCTATAGCGCTTGTCCGAGAGGTAGCGGAAGGACCAACTATTGTGCAAACATACATCCTACAAAACCATCAATCGTTCCCTCCGCATGCGTTGCGTACCTTGCTCGTGTGAACGTGGAGTGCAACCCAAGCCTCGGTGAGGCAGTCGATTGTAACATCAGCCCCCCCTCCGCGATTCACTGGATGGATGATTCCCAAAGACGACATTACAAAGGCTTGAGGTATACTGGTTATACGCCCATCAATGTGTACAAATTCACACACTGATACTTTCAGGTGGACCGAGATAGCTAGGCTTCACTCCTCCAGTGTCTGTGGCCAGCATCGGGACCGGTCAGTCTCTCACGACAACGCATCGCCAAGAACAGCCACATACCGATCACAATCTTCTGCAGAACAACTGTCGGCTCGATCATCCACACCTTCAGCGTGTGCGCGCCCGGTTGGACGGGGAACACGACAGGCACCTCGATGATGCTGTTCGCGACCCAGCCGTTCATCCCTCCCCACCCAGGCGGGGCCGTCTGGCCGCGGGGCGTGGCGGGTACATAGTTCACCGTCTTCGGCTGGCCGTCGTCGATCTGGAGCGCGAAGCCGAGCGGGCGCGAGTCGCCCAGACCGTTCAGCGAGGGCGAGACGTACGTCTTGATCGTGATGCTCCCGCCCTGGCTACGAGTGTTGAACAAGTAGAAGTCGTACTCGCTGACGGCGGTGGAGTATTAGAGACGTGGGTCATGCAGGAGCAGCAGTGATTAAGGGGAGAAGGGAGCTGCAAAGACTTACATGCTCGGTCCACTGCCTGCGGCGAAGCTGAGCTCGTCACCTCCGCGCGGCCAGGGCGTTACGCCAGAGAGGGTGCGGCCGAGGCCCGGGATCTCAGTCCAGGTAATGCCTGAGACAGACGTGCTACGAGAGGCGTGGCCAGCCTCGATGGACACTGCACCATCGCCCTCCACAAAGCCTATATGGTTTAGCATCTCAGCCCCCTCTCTACCAGCAAAGCCCACATTCAAGGACCCAGGACTCACCATGGAAGCCCTCTGGCACTACGGTGTGGTTCGCAGTAAGCGCGACGGGCACCCTCTGCACGACCCTCCCGTTGCTCGTCGCAGTGATCGTGACCGTAGCAGTCTGCACGCCCGTCACCTTGCTCCAGTCGACGCTCACGAACACGCGCTCCTCGGGGTGGCCCGTCGAGATCGAGCCCTGGGCGGGCTCAACGCGCACCCACGG